TTGATGGCAGTTGTGGCTTGGATGGGTGACTGTTATATTTGAATATTAATTTCGGAGGAATAATCTCCTTGCAAACACCGTAAAAATTTTTTTTCAATGTTTTATAATGATTTTTATTCTAATTTTATAAACGTTTATTTAATCGTAATTTTTAATTTTTTATATCCTGTAAACACGTCAGAGATTCTTAGTACGTCCACCAATTTCATAAACAGATAACTCATAGATGTCCAATGGATGTCTGAAGGATCTAAAACAGATAGCTTATAGATATCCTCAATGTCCTTCAAGAACATTTATGGATGTCCATAAGATATCCGTGTGCTGTCTGGATTGGCACATGTTGACAGTTTCAGATGCCATGTTGGACTAAGAAAAAGTAATAAAACGGAGATCTAAATTTCTTAAATTTTTTTTGTTTTCAGCATAATCTCTACCAGTTGGAACTACATTGATGCCTATACTTTAATCGTAAAGAAGAATTTTTGCCTGTTGCCTTTAATTATGTTTATTTTATCATGGAAAATAATCACGTTCGGTTGATAAAATAGACGACTTTAGGATTGCCTTAAAACTAATTTTTTATGCGTTAAAACTATTTATTATATTTTGTAATGACATAAAATAGCAAAAAAAAAGAAAAAATGCAGATCTTTCGCGCAAAATGTGATAGAAGAGGTACTTAACGAAACGTTTGTGTAAATTTTTACTTGAGAATTTATTATAATAAAGTAAATTTTGATGTATCAAAAATTACTAGTGTATCGAATTACGTACTTTCTATAATACTAACAAGAACGTTTCTTTTTTTTCATTTCTTCTCAATGTAATAAATTTCACCCAACAAACCGTACTTCAATTGAACAGTCAAACTGGCAATTCCACATTTTCAAATCTTATTGTCATTTCAATTTTTAACTTTATCATCGCTATATAAATTTTAATAAAATTTATTTAAAAATTCAAATTATTTCAAATACCAATTTTCAAATTTTTAGTTTTCTTAATCTGTTAGTAATATTAATTTCTTAATTGCTGTTTTACAAAAATCTTTCATATCAGAAACGCAATTAGATTCAACTTTTCATAATTTAATGGGTCTCATCACCCCTGAGGTTTTAAAATGATACCTTAAGTTTGAGATTTTTTTGTGGGTAAATGGATAACTTTATTTAAAATTCTGCTTATTATTAAAAGAACATTATTGTACATATATAAGAAATCAAAAAAATATTTCTTTATTTTCCTTATGTCCAAAATGGCGGCGCACTGGCCTACACTTGCGGAATCCCTTTCTTTCTATCGGTGTACAGGATTCCAGGCACACGGTTTGGCCTTACATACAAAACATAAAGAATTTTTATTATCTACATATTAAAAACTTATTAAAGAACTTACATACTTATTAAAAAAAAGATAAGTACGTAGGGATTTTTCAAAATATTGATTTTTCTCAAAATGGCAATTATTTTACGAAAGACTTGTACTGGCATAAATACGAACTTTTCGTAAAAATAGCTACCATTTCGAGAAAAATCAATATTTTAAAAAATCTCTACGTACTTTTACAGTCTTTAATAGTAGATAATAAAAATTCTTTGTGTTTTGTTCAAGAGCAAATTATGTGCCTGGAATCATGTACATCGATTTGAAAAAAACAGAAAAAAAGGGATTCCTCAAGTAGGCCATTGCGCCGCCATTTTGTACATAAAAAATATTTTTTTAATTTTTTATATATGTACAACAATATCCTCTAAACAGCTTTTAAAAAAAGTTATCTATTTACCCACAAAAAATCCTAAACTTAGGTATTATTTTAAGGCCTCGATCAGGGGTGGTGAGACCCCTTAAGGTGCCAATCTGTGCATCTTAGGAGTTTTCATCTTAGGAATTGACGTGTCCAGCGTCGAATACCGTGAAAAGTTTAACAAATGTCGCTTTGTCAACGATATTAACAAGATTATTTTCATAATTGACTTCATCGCTCTCGGCGTTCGAAGACAATTCAATTTCGTCAAAAATATTTCCAAGAAGAAACATTGCAAAATGTTTCTCTAAAATGTTTTTCAAATTCGATCTTTCACTCTTCACTCAAGTTAAACTACCGCCATGGCTCGGTCTCATCGAACATCCGATCGATGTTATCTCGCAGCATCTTCTCTTGTTCTGAAAAATCGAAATAAGTTATTAATAAATATTTTTATTTTATTTTAATTATTTTAAATTTAAATTTTTTTTAGAAAAATAATTTACGCTTGTATATGCAATAAATATGAATATAATCACCTTTAGTTAAATTCGCGATAATACATTGTTTCCGGAGGAACTCTATACATAAAGTTCGTGACAGGCCGAAAGCATGCATGTTACAAGTAAAAGTCCTGAAAAAAATTGTTAAAACGAAAATATATCTAAAATAATCAAATATATAGATCGAGATATCAATTCGATTCTATCATATATGTATTTACCCTAACTGTCCGAAGACGATGTTTGCTTGAAACTTTCTATCTTCGGCAGCGATGCTTTCCTGATCTAGGGATTTCGGTCGAGGCGGTACCGGCCTTGACGCTCGCTCACATTGTACTGCGTCAAAGAAAGCAGCCGTCCAAAATCTCATGGACGTCCATATTGGCTGAACGCGCAAATGCGTGTACAAATATTCACGGTAGGGCTCTAACCCAGGAACTTCCACTGAAATTACATGTTAGGATAAATATACAGTATTAATCATAATAAATATGCAGGGCATTCAATAAGCAAGATTTACGAATTAATAAAAGATATATAGTAATTCTTTAATAGTTTAATAGTAATTCTGGATATTTCAATATTTATTATAATTCAGTTTAAAGATTATTATGTATTTTAAATAATTAAATAGGTAGCAGTAGGATACATTTTCACGATTAAGCGAGTGACTTTGAATTATTTTATATTCATTGAAGATGGCTCAAAATATGAGCCGAAACGTCTAAAATATATGTGAGAGTAAAATTCTTTGTTTTTAATATTAAACTGCGTATTATTAACCATTCTGATTCCCATTGCCTTTTTACATATTGTTATTTTCAATTAATTAATTGACGTAGGTAACATAATGATATTTTACAAGATCATTATAATACTATATTATAATAGAATAATTAATATTTCACATAATTCTTCTTTTTACTAATAATATTCAATATTTAATATTTCTGTATTATTCCAAAATTGTCTCAACATTTAAAAACATTTTTTTAATGTTTTACAATTCTGCTTTGGAAACTTCTTGTTACCTTCATGATAGAAAGTGAAGCACATGTTCATGAGACTTTTAGCGGGCGCAAAATCATCTGCTTCGTGGCATTCGAATAGCGCGACTGCGAAATGCTGCGCCAAAGAATAAAAAGAAGCTTCTGTGACACACGCACGTGCTCTTCTCGCGTTCACCACCCTGGAGAACCATATTCTTCCCGATTCTGTCTGCAAATTTATTATCGCATCAAATCAAGTGTCAAAACTAATTAATTAATAGAAGTATAATTAGTAATTAGAAAAGGCAATCAGAGTCAAAACGCGCGGGTAATTGGTGCGTGGTTAATTTAATTTCTCGAATATAAAATTCTTCAATATATCGATAACACGTACGTTTCAGTCCTATCAGGCCTTCCTCAGCGATACAAAACTCTTATAATAACTCTTACATTAAACGCAATTTAGTTATTCACCTTCGCATTGTTCTGTATATTATTCCGCAGTAACAGTAGGTAGAAGTTCCGTAATGTGTGAGCATTGCTTTCAATTGTCTGATTGCAAACTAAATTGCGTTTAATTAAGAATTATTATAAGAGTCTTTTATCGCTGAGGAAGGTCTGAAGAGGGCTGAAACGTACATGTTATCGATGTATAATTGAAAAATTTTATATTCAAGAAATTAAATTAACCACGCACCAATTACCGCGTTTTGACTCTGATTGCCTTTTCTAATTACTAATTATTTCAATCTTAGAGTCTTGTACATTATTGAGTATTAATATTACCATACGAATATATAACGTAATATAATACATGTGATTAACAGATACTTTATATAGCAAATATTAAGACAATATGACAAAAATACTGTTAGGAAAATAATTGTCTATACCGGGAATTTAGGTAAGTCTCTGAAGAGATAGTTACATGGCTTTCGGCACACGGTGTACGTGAATTCATTATCACAGGTACCATGGCATTCGTAAAGTCTCGCAAGTAGTACGTATTGCGATGCGCCAGGCGTGCGCAGCGCGTTGCCTCGGCAAATCCGCAGACTCCATTGATGTAAGCAAATATTGGAAACACGTCGGCTTTTGGTGCTAACGTCAAAAGCTAATGATACAAAGACAAACTAGTCGCACGCTAATCCGCTTCCGCGCGCTCCTGGCCCCTCCCTTCTTCTTCCTCCTCCTTCCCCTCGAAAACCAGATTGCCGCGATAATTCACGCGGAGCCATAAGGCCTTCTGGATTTCGAAACCTGGATGCTATTCGCGTTTCAGTCCTCCCTCTGGCCGTAAGATAATCTCGGATTCATTTGCGAAAAGCGGTTGTATATATGTACAGTGAACTACCATATCTAATGCCATAAATATATTATATTTGACATCCGGTCTCGTACGGGTCGTATAGTTGTGTTTATGTCAATACATTTACATATGTAGGATTTTCCTTTCGCGCTTTTGTCGAGCCTTCTAACATTGCCATTAAATCAATTTAAAGGAGATTTTGGACATCTCTTCTGCCTACAGTAGATATGTAATATGATTTTAGGAAAAATACTAGTTTATATTTTAAATGTCTAGTCAAATCTTTCAAATCTTTCTTTTTCTGCCCTCGCACATAATTTGATAAACTTTTTTGCTCATAAATTTTTATCGGAACAAAGAAATAACGCGCGTTGCTTTTCCTACTGCTTTCCCTACTCGATAGTCTCTTTTCTAAATCCTTTACAATTTTTCCTTTTATTTTTCTCTGTTCTATGCCTTTCATCTTCAATCTTTACTATTCTAACGTCTAAAAGGAAGCTCTTACAATGCAATATTCTACTTGTTTGTTCGTGAATCTCTTTTAATGGAATTTGTTATTGCCTACCTTATTGAAGACGCTTTACTTTCAGAAACAGCGCTTGGAAACCTTATTTTCACTTTCTATTATACACGCGCATCGCATTGAAAATTTGTATTTCCGTTTTTCCATTACTCATAGTATTTTCCAGACAGCTCCATACATCTTTTTTTTCACATACACACGCGCGTACAAATCCCTTTCATCCTTTCTCGAAATTCTCTTTGCATAAACGCAATCTCTTGAAGAAACGTGTATCTGATTGCAATAACTAATACAAGCTTACAGTTTATTGTTGTTGAATATGTTCATCTTTTTCAATATCGAAATATCCCGAAAGGAAAATCTAGAATTTTCCGAGGCAAGGGTATTTCAAGAACGAATTAAGTTTTCCATTCGATTTTCACGGCTGAATTAACGCGTCCGTGATTACTGTCGCCTTTTCCCTGTAAAATCCTATAAATCGTAATGCGACCTGTGGCTTTGACGGAGTACGACGAGCGATCAGCGATTATCCGGAAGGGAGAGGAAAGCCGAGGAAGAAAACCAAGTGAGTGGCGAGGGGCCGCCCATGACGGAAGAAATTTCCGAAGATCCCTCTCGAAGGCGATGCCATCACGGTAACCCATTTTACCAGTCACCCCCCTCCCCCCTCCCCCGTGCTACACCTATACACTTCCCCGTCTTCCCCCTCGTTCCTCCGAATTCTTCCGTTTGTTTGCGCCGACGTGTACGCGACGTGTACGAGATACGTCGCGTACAGGAAGCACACGCGCTACACTTGCAACGTTACACGGGAACTCGTCGGAGCGAGAGATATTCGAGGTAGCCAATTTATTTCCCCGGCTGATTCTTCAAAGAACCTCCTTCGCTCGGTATGTCGTCGCTCTTCGGGACGTACGACGAAGTTCTGACCCGTCCCCCTGCCTCGAAAGCACCTCTCATACAATAGTGCACCTTTTCTTTTATTCTCTTTCGATAAGAATTGAATTCTTCTATCGAAAGCACGGGTATTTGATTAAGACAATGCGACTCTTGAAAGAATTTCAGATCCTTTTTGAAAAGTGCGAGAGGTAATTGCGAGAAGTTTGGTGCTGCAATTGCCATACACCTTCCTGCACGAAATGAAGTGATTGTATGTAGACTCTGACACTTTATTCGTAATAAGGAGCAATTACAACAAAGAATGTTGCTCTTCTAGAAATAAATTTCTTAATTTTTTTGAATTATGTAATTAAAACATTAAATTAAACTTAACGAAAGATGTAAAGTTTTTTTACTATATTACTATGTTTGAAGATCGCGCTAGATTTGGCACACAGTGTATACTGTACACCCATAATCCCAAAAGGACGGGGCAATTTACAGTCTATCGGCGTGGTAATACCGTTATTCTGACGAGGACTAAAACTTCAATGGGACATTATGCGGGAGTGAGGCGGCAGAGTACCGGAGACGGCGCCGAGGCCGGAGGTGGAGTAACTGAACCCTGACAAGACCTCGGGAGTGCGATCTTTCCTCTCCGAGTTTCAGCCGTCGACTTTCGCCCGCGAATTTACATACAGGCCCTCCTTTGCGCCGCGCCGCTTCTAACCGTGTAAGAGTTATTCCGATGGTGTCGCCTGTCTTTCGCCAAGTAGTTCACTAGTATTCACCGCGAGATGAAACTTGAAAAATTGCTAAACGAGTTGGAATGTTACTTTTACAAAGGGGATATCCTTCGATTAATAACGTCTCATTTACGGATGTTAAGAAACAATCCTGAATACATTGAGCTCCAGAAACAAATTAATTGTAATTCTTAACATTTGCAAATCGATTTTTTTTTTTTCTGTATGAATATTTTATACGCGATACTTTCTTTCTAGTAATTTCCGACTATCGAATTAAGTTTCATTGTATTTTAATAATGCTACGAAGTTCTGATTGAATAGAATTTTTAAAATAGTAATATAATTATTTTAGTATCTAAAAGAGAGTTGTGAGTATTTTTAAATAGGACTAGATATCCTCCAGGCACGTGCAGATTCTCGTGGAATACTATTTACTTCTCGCACAAGAACGGTCTTAGGCTTCTTATCTCTATCTATGCCTTCAACCTCCTTTCGCTCTTTCATGATGAACTATAGAGAAGATGGAGGCTGAGAGAGTACGGATCGATGGTATGAAACAAGTCGAAGGTGGAAAACGAGGAAAGCTCAGAAAGAGAGAAAAGTCTCTCCCTCACTTTGTTTTCTGTGAGCGCGTCGTAAAGCGTTAATTAAATTACGTTCTTGTAGAAAGGGCGAGAGTGCGAGAAGGAAAAGACTGTCTTTAAAACTCGCCGGTCGGAGTTGGCCGGCCGTCGTTTTACGAAAAGCTGACAATTTCGTCCGCGTTTGATGTCTCCACGGACCGATTTTCTCGGAGAGAGAGAGAGAGAGAGAGAGAGAGAGAGAGAGAGAGAGAGAGAGAAAGAAGGAAATAGAAAAGAAGGAGGGAAGGGTGGCTCTAAATTAAGAAGTTGGAATTTTTCCGATGCCCTTCAATATTTAAGCTCGAAGACGTTTCGTACCGAACGGCGATGAGATGCGAGTTCGCGTGTCGTTAAAGGAAATTTTTCGCGTTTGCGGTAGTAGGTTATACGCCATCATCGATGAGCACGTAGCGCCTTCCCGAGTGTATCGCCGCTTTCGAACACGTGACGGGAAAATTCTTTCATACTTTATACAAGCGAGCATCAGTTTGTCCATCTGTCTGCTTCCTTCTGCGAGTTTCTCTTTCGTTCTATCGTTATTTTTGGTTCATATTTTATAGCTGCGCGCCGGTACATCGAAAACAGTCGCGTACCTGGTAGACGTTCGCACAAAGTCCTGTGAAAATATCGGGATATAAAACGCAGTACACCACAGGCATTGCAAAATTTTTTCGACGGTGGATTTATTCTTTGAGGAATTTAAGAGTGTATATTTTACTAACGAAAAAATTTGATATTTTTTTCCACTGTTTTTTTTTTAAAGTCCGATATAGAATACTTTTATACAATTAAATTATATTTCAACCTAATTTATTTTCAGTTTATTTTATATTTTTGATCAGATTTAACTATAAAAAAAACCGATAGAATTTAACGCAATTCCCAATTGCTAATGAAATTTCATAAGTTAATAGATCTGTTATTCATTTACATTCAGAAAATTTAATCTTTTTAAATTAAATTAATTTTATTAATTTACTTAACGATTTATTTAAAAAAAGATTTAATTTAAATTTTTGGCGTAACCTTTATTTTCTACGACTGAAATGGTATTGACACCAACGTTGGAAGAACTGCTATTGTTTTTAGTTCACCTCTTTATACTTCGGCAAAAGTGAACGACTTCTGAAACATCTTGCGCGCTATACTTCGGCAAACCCGTTTCGCGTTTGGATTCCTCCTTTTTCTATAGATCCTCTACGTCTTTACCCGGCAATTACCGTAACTCTCTTTATCTACCGGCGACTCCCGTCTATTCTCCCTCGATCCATGGCTCGCAAGAGCCCTTTTTTCCCAGGCTGAGTCGTAGAATCTAGAACAGTCCCTTCCAGTATTCGATGGGGGTGCACCGCTCCCTCGGGAACGACGTTCACGCCGTTTGCCATTGCCCTCGGGGTACACCACGCTAATGTCCCCCTTAAAGGAAAGGAATCGCCATTCGCCTCGTCGTAGACGAGGTCGAACGCCGAAATTTATTTCACCTTCGTCCGCAAACTTTGTTGAGGTTCATCTCTCGTCTAAAATTAAGTCATGACAAGGCGAAATGTAATTTAATCAGTGATTGAAATGTCAAGTTCTTCAAATATCATTCAGAAACAATATTTTTCACAATTTCAAATAGTTTCCAGCGATATAAATTTTGCACTTTTTATAGAAATTATTTTACAAAGAATAATTAACAATAGAGATGACAGCAATAATAAATAAGAATTAATTAGACTAGAATTATTCATAATTTAGTATTAATTACAATGAATATTAAATATTAGAGATAAATTATTTAGACTATATTTAGAGTATAGAGATAATGAAAAAATCTTATTTGTTTAGGATGAATTTATTTAGATTGAATCAGAAAACGTTAAAAATAATTACTTTTACTGTATTTTTATGTATTTTACTACAAAAGTATTTAATGTGTTCAAAAATATTTAATTTAATTTACTTAAATATTATAAACAATCTTTTTGCTCGAGGTTCTAGTTCGCGGAGTTACGATCGCTAATTCGATTACCTAGATACTTGTCATTGTTGCAACTGCGGGTACATTCTCCATTCGCTTCGATGGTTCGTACTTGTGTTTCTCTTTGATTCGTCAGTTTAGTAAACGCGTGCGCTCGACGACTCGGAATTAATGCGCGTGCACATTTCGAGATGATTTTGCGAGGTGTATATGCCTTTGAAGTTCATTCTCTTGCGGCTTGTAGGTAAAACTGCACTTTATTAAATCTGTTCTTGCACTCAACTTGCACTTCGTTTGTTAATGGTAGTTGCGGATATTAACGTTAAATTCATGAAATTAATAAAGCGTACGCATATGAGTTTAAAATGAAATGGTACAAATTGGATTATCCAATTATGTTTCGCAAAAGTAATTTGGAAGATTTTATTTTTTTAAATAGACTTACAAAAAAGGTAATAGATAGGAAGGAAATTGAAAAAGATGCAAAAAGTCAATATAATAAGAGAACATTTAAAGAAAATGAATTTTCGAAACTAGCACATCGAAACGTATCAACGAAGATATACAGAACATTTTAGAATTCTCAATCTTAATCTTAATAATACCAAGTTCTTCTGAACTTCATTGAAAAGTGCTTCAAGGCATGCTCTGACTTAGACTTAGCAGAGTATTTATTAAGTCAGAAATTACATCAGTAATTTCCGGTACGATAATCTTTTTCCGATCATATTAATCAAATGAAAATATCATCGTCGCCAATAATATATCCATTCAACACAGAAAGAACGTTCCCTCTGTTTGCGAATGTAGCATAAAGTTATCAGAAGATATTTTTCGCTTATCTCAACAAAATATTTCGGATCGCCGAATTGGCTCTCGGGCGAGTTTTCGTGATCTGTCGAATCGTCCATTTTTCGAGTGCTACGAAACGAAGCGTATGCATGGTCCAAGTTCGAAGCCTTCAAATCTCGCTTTTTTTTCCGTCAATCCGAAATAACGCTACGTCGGCTTTTTCCCGACCAATCGCAGCTGTAAGTCGCGATGGAATGCGAACGAGACGGGCTTTAAACTGGAAGAAGGTAGCGTGAAATTGGTAGGGCCGCCAGCTAAGCTCGAGGACGAAACAGACGGGCGGGAGAGCGAGCGGGCGAGCGAGAGCGGTAATGAATTCCAGCACACCTTTTGGCAAGAGAACTCCTCTCTCGCTGAACGGAAACTTCCTGAGAGAATGGAAATTCTCATGGAATCACGCGATTCCTGAATATTCCGCGACGGTAGGCTCCCAGACTCTTCCTCGGAGTAAGTCTCGCTTTGAGTACACTAACGCGAGTATTGCACGCCGTCGCACTCGCATTCGTCATGACTCTGCCTCTGAAAGTTAGCGTATTCGGTAAAGGTTGGTTGTTTGGTTACTCTGTAATCTAGCGAGAAATTCTCATAACAATAATAACCACAACTGCGATTGTTTAATTAATCCTTTTGTTACACTTTTCAATATTATAAAATAAAGAGGATATTTTTTTATGTATTCTTTATTTGCACCTGTATCGTTTATAACTTATTTTATCTGTTTGGTTAATTTCTGTTATTTTCGTCTATTTTTTTCTCTTTTTCTCTCTATCATAAAATCTATAAAAAATTTTCTCGAATATTCCGTTGAACACCCTCCAAACTCCAGGTCTTTGGAAAGTTAAAAATATTGTGAAAGCTCAGCAGCTAGAAAATTAATTTGACATGCTTGATTACTTGTTCAGCTTTACGTCGTGCACTTCGTGCTTCAAATATTGAGATATTTACTTCTGTATGCGAAGTGTAAGAGAGAACTTACTCTTTATGACTCGCTTGCGGGCGACGCATTCAAAGTTACACGACAATGTGCTTACACAAGTGGAATTAAGCAGGTCATCGGACCGTTCGCAGCGGCGCGGCGCCGCAAACGAACGCGTTTCACAGACGGTTATATAAAAACCTCTGTGCGAAATGGAGTGGCATGCATGTGCGAAAATGACGAGGCGGCGCTATACTTTAGGGGAGCCGTTATTCTGTGTAACACGACCACCGCGCGTATTCTTCGATGCGCTTTTCCAGTGCATTCTGCGAAAATGGAAATCGCTTGCGAGTTACATGCCTTGCATACGCATTCGATTTCAAGCTGGTGTATTGTTACGGTTCTCAAATTCTAAAATATTATAAGCATTGTTGTTCTTCCATTAATTAAAAGGAAGATTTAATCCATTAATATAATTCGTATTTTAATAATATTACAACTTAATATTAATAACGATAAAGGTTCGCAAATTAGTGAATTACACCATGAATTTCTGCTGTTATTCTGACCAAATTATTCGAGCTTTACTGTTGCGGCAATCGCGCAACGTATATCTGATTAAATAACTGCTCATTCGCGTTTCGTTGGCAAATCATTAATCTCCTCTCAAATTACCGCAACAACAACCTCGGAACGATCGTGATTGTGAATTCAATTTGGCAGCGTTTCCACGGTCGTTTTATCGTTATTTCTTTGCCTATTCTCTCGCGGTCCGAGAAGGTGCTGCTTCAAATGCTTCCTATTCTGTATCGCAGAACGAGAGATCCTTCAGACTCCTTGAGCATCTATCTCACTCGAGTGCCAATCGTTTTTTTGAAAAGCTCGATCGCTCATTCGACTTGGATCGCTAGTTCCAACCGCGATGTACATACCAGATCTGGTATACATTGCTCTTGCTAATCATTCTTGTCTACCCAAATTAAATTTTATTTAGCGTTTTCTGCATTTTTCTTTTCTTCGTGAAAAATAAGACAAAGTTGAAGGTCTGTTAATTGAAACAGATTTTAACATACATTTAATTAACAATAACTTGATTTTCCAAATATTCTACATGAATATTAAATTTTTGATATTTGAATAGGTTTAAATT